AGGGCCAGCCGAGTGGGTGCCCGCCTTCCCTGAAGAGACATCTGCTCGGACCGGGGGCAGCTGCGCCCTCACGCCCGCCCGCCCGCCTGCCCCTCGGCACGGCTGCTTCGCTCTGCCCGACAGCCGACCTGGCAAGATCCTGGCAGCACCTGGCAGGGAGGCGTCTGGTAAGCAGAGAGGACCACGTCTCGACTCTCAGCGCCCCCACCTGTCTCTTCTTTGGTGCATCCTAGCACAGCGCATGCTGGACTTCACCACGCCGGGAGGGGTGATCCTAGACAGCGTAATCGCCGGCCTTCTCATGAAGCACATTCATAAGCTGCAAGGTGAGGCTCCTCCTGGTGATGCCTGGGGCTCGTGGGTGGACTAGAGCAGATGCCAGCGGCTATAAAAGAATGACAGGGATTTAGGAACACAGAAGCAGAGCGAGCCGGAAGGGGTCTCCCGGGTCATCTAGTCTGACCCCCGGCTCCAGCCTGCTCCGTTCACGACAGGCCCACCATGCGCATGTCCAGATGGGACCTGAAATCAGATGCCGTGCAGGCAGCGTCAGGACGGTGCGCCTCTTGTGAGCTTTGCCTGCTGTAGCTGAACATCTGACTCCAGGGATCAGTTCTGGGCTGAAAGCACCTTCCCTTCATTTCAGAGCAGGAATAGTTTGTTTGTTTATTTACTGAAAGTATTTTTAGACTGTTCTACAGCAGATGCTCTCAGAACAGTTTATAGCATAAAACACAATAATAATAATAATAGCATCCCCAGTAACCACAACAATTTCAAAGATAATAGCCACAATTAACCAGGGAAATAAAACAGTAACACACGAAACAGAATTCTAACCCATAGCAACCCATCAATCATCATCTGACTAAGAGCCAGTGTAAAATCAAACCATCTATTCAACAGTTAAAATGAGAAAATAAAAAGGCAGGCGGGTGGTGTTGGTGCCAGGCCTCTCTCCCTGGGAAGCTGGTCCCATAGCTGGGGGTCCCCCAACTGAGAAAGCCTTTCCCCTTGTGGCCACCTTCGTTGCTTCCTTAAGTGGCGGCTCACGGACAGCCAACTCTGTGCCGGCTGAAGTTTCCGGACCGTCTTCAAGGGCAGCCCCACGTAAAGCACATTACAGTAGTCCAAATGTGCAAAGGAAAATGTTCTGAGCTTTAGCAAGCCTTTCTGTGTAAGCACCATTGTTTCATCTCATTTATTCTTGTCCAAGCTTGTGTAGGCCACCAGATTTTCAGTACACTACAAGATCACCTTCAGAAACTTGAGATACTGTTGATATTTAGAGGCGTTCTTTTCATTGACAGTGGGGACACTGATTAGCTCTGACGTAATCAAACTTAAAAATTAGTTGCAAGACTGAAGATAAAATTTGAACGCTTCTTCTCATGTGCAAATAGTTATGCCACTGGCATGATTGTAGTGACCTGTATCTGGCTCCAACAAGTAAAAATTAAACTATGTGGCATGATGCGCGAGAGCAGTGTTCATGTGGCAAAGGCCCCTCAGCAATTTCCAGGATTTCTGTGGACAGGAAAGGAGACACACCTGCTGCTGCACAGCTCAGTCAGCAATTTTTGCTTGCAGATGGTTCACAGGTTCATTTAGAAGTTTGGTATTTGCGGGCAAGTAGCTGGAGAATAAATGTCAGCAGCCACAAAAATATAAGGAACATCACCATTTTGCAGACACTAATTTCTTGAATTTGCTCTTCAATAATCACATTTCACCTTTTCAAAATCTCTCTCTCTTATCTTTTCTTCTTCTGATGCACTATAGCTCAGACACTAACTTTAATTGAACTGCAAATGCATTTTCAAACTGCTTTGGCTGCCTCTCAGCTCGCCAAGGAAGATTGCAAAGCATGCAAGCAACAGTGCCGCCTCTGTCCCAGTGTGCATCTGCCTGGTTGCCAGGATGAGTTAGGAATTGGGCGGATGTCCGTCTTTGTGAGGACAGAGTCCTGCATGCAGATGGGAGCTCTTACCATAAACCCAGATGAAAGATGCATGCGCCCGCAGAGAGAGCGTCCGGGCTCCTTTGGATAGTTCAGATTCATAAAACAGTTGAATGTTGCAGTATCGTGGGTTCTCCCTCCCTCCCTCCCTCCCTCCCTCCCTCCAGAGCAGAGCTGTGCTGCAGCGAGTGACCCAGCAGCCGTCGTGTCCGTTGCAGCCGGAACTTGCCTGCTCCCCTTTCTGGCCATCCTGGCGCTCCGTACGTAGCCCCATGCTGCTCCGTGGATCATGGGTGAGGCAGCCCTGATGGGCTGGCAAAGCACTTTGCATGGCTGCTCCTCTTGAGTCCCAGGGAGGGAGGGAGGCCATCGCCCTAGAGCCTCGGCGCCCCCTCCCCACCCTTCCCATTGTGATGCAGCAGCCAAGCATCCACTTGCCAAGGTCCGGCCCCCTGCGAGCGCCCTCCAGGCCCCCTGAGCTGCATCTGCAGCCTACAGGCGAGCCTTTTAAAGGAAGGTGTGATGGTAATACAACGCAGCCACCTGACCATGCCATCGGGCAAGGGGCATGCACCTGGCAGCGGTAATTCAGCACACACAGAAATACGGTGGTGGCGGGAGGCCCACGATGCGGTGCTTGCAACAGGCTGCAGGCACGCAGGAAACCGCGTGGGGACTCCTGTTCACTCACACTCGCCCCAGAGGCGCTTCCACCTTCCAGGAGTCACACAAAGCCAGAACAGCTGCAGGTGCTTAAAACCTGGAACAGGACGCCCAGGCAGTGTTGCCCCAAAACTTTCCGGTCATGCTTGCTCAAGGCAGGGTTGGCCGCCCTCTCTCGGCTTCGTTGCAGCACAGCCAAGAGGCAGCTGGGCAGAGCAACTCAAACCGAGGGGCTAAGAAAAGTGGCCCCAAGAAGTCCACCCAGGCCGTTTTGTCCATCCCGCCCTGCTGCGTGGCCGCCACGGCCGCCGCCTCGGCACGGCACGCTGCCACAGCGCCACACGAACGGGCGAGTCGGCCTGGGATGGTCCCGCCTCCCCTCATGGCTGGGCAGTTTCCAGGGGGCCCTGAACAGGTGGAGGGAGGGAAGGCTGGAGGACAGGCCTGGGGGCCCCAGGATCACACCCCCATGCCCCACGCGTCCTTCCAAAGTGGGTGAGTGCTGACACACCCGAGAGATAACCTTTTGCTGTTTGGCAGATTGCATGGACATGAAGAGGCAGACGGCAGAAGACCGGGTCTCCAGAAGGAAAAACTGAAGGACCATACAGGTGCTCTCAGGATGGCCTGCGCAGCTTCCCCACGATGGGAATCCAGGGTGCTCTGCAGGTTACCTGGCAGGTGGGAGCCCACCAGGTTTGCCCTGCTTTAACTGCCAGATTCCTCGGTCAGCTGGAAGAGGCCTCCAAGCTGCACTGTGGCCTCCAGTAACCCGCTCCCCTTCCAGGCCTCCTGGGTGGACTGTCCAGAATTGCCGGCTGTGTGCAGAACCCTGTGGGGGTGCCAATAAAGGTAACACAAGAACAGCCTTCTTGGCAGTGTAAACCGGCTGCCCTGTCCCCCCCCCCCCCCCCGCACACACGGCAGCCCAACCACCGGAGTGGCCAGCAGAGGAGGAGCGCAGGAGGGGCGAGGCGGCCTCGGCGAAGGGGCCGTGGCTGGCCCAGCATCGCCCGGTGAGCTCCGTCCCCAAGGACCCAGATCTCCCAGTCCCCGTCCAGTACTCGCACCATGACGCCATTCTCATTTCTAACCAACAATGAAAGGGTGTGGCTTTTTTAATGGCGAGGACCAAGTACTGCAGAAAGATAACATCTGCGGGGCACCCGGGCAGCCCAAGCCCAAGCCAAGCACGTGAACTGGCGGTGGGGCCAGGTGTGGGGTGCTGCTTTGGCCAATGGAGCTCAGAAAGGCTGCTGCAGAGCTGGGAAAGGGCTCCCAAAGCCCCGGATGTCCTCTGGAGCTCTTTAGCTGAAAGAAAAGGCAATTTACAAGGAAAAATGAAGCATACGAAGGTATACAAGTCGTGGAGCAAGAAGAGGGTTCTTGCCTAGGCAGCTGCCTGGCCTCTGGGCAAGGGTCACCTCCAAAGAGCCAGAGGCTGCGGACCTTGGCAGGGGGCACCCGCATGGCCCTGTGCTCTCTCTCGCTGGCCACAGCTGAAGGGAGCCTGGCAGGCCAGCCAAGAGCTGGGCGCTGGACTGACCGCGGGCGCAGATGACCACCGGGCTGGCTGGCCCCTCTGGGCTGCAGAGAAGCAGGGGCCCGTGGGGAGAGGCTGCGAAAACCCTCGGGCGGCAGGCAGCTGTTTCCCGGAGGCTTAAAGCGGCGAGGGAGACGGGCGCAGCAGGAAGAGCCAAGCCGCGGGACGGAGCCATGCTCGCCATGCTCGCCCTGCCGCCGCTGGTCACGGCGACTGCGGCCCCGGTGGCGTCGCAGGCGCCCTCGCGACGGCCGAGTGCGGCCCGGGGGCTCCGCGGCGGCCCCAGCCAGCGCCGTCCGCGCGCGCCGGCCAGGAGGTGGCGGCAGCAGCCCGCCCCGGCCCGTCGGACGCCGCGCTCCGAGGGCAGCCCGACCGCGCCAGGCTCTCCTCCCGCGCTCCGCGCCAGGCCGATCCCTCCCGGGCGGGGGGCGAGCCGTGCCCGACCGTCCGGCGCGGGGCAGCGGCCGTGGAGTCCGCCCGTGGCCGCGGCTCGGGCCAGAGCCCAGGCGAGCGTCCGGCGGCGCGTGTGGCCTG